CTGCCCAACGCGGCCCAAGAGGCCCCCCCGGGGCGGCCCCAAAGAGGCGCCACGAGGGCTCCGAGTCGGCTCCCGAAGAGCTCCAAGGCGGCCTCGAGGGGCGCCAGACGGCTCAGAAGGGGTCCCACGACAGCCTCAGAGGGCCCCAAGACGGCACGAAGAGAGCTCCACGAGGCTCCCAAGAAGGTCCAGGGTGACCCCGCGAAGAGACCCGAGGCGGCCCCAGGACGTCCCACCAGGGCCCAACTCAACCGCAAAACCGAGGGGAAATACGTACATCGGAGAGGGAGGGAGGGGACAGAGAGGAAAGAGAGGAATAGAGAGAGAGAGAGACAGAGAACGAGAGAAAGCATGAGAGAGAGGGACAGAGAGAGAGAGGGAAAGCAACACGAACGAATCAGACGGATCTAGGAAAACTTGCTGCTCCTAGCGAAATAGCCGAAATAGCTCCAGAGCGTCCCCGAGCGCCCATGGAACGGCCGCGGCTCCCGATGCGTCCTCCGTGCCCGCCAGGCTCTCGGAGATCCACAACGCACAGCTGCCTTGCCCTGTGTTTTGCGCACCCTGGGAGAACGGCAGAAACGCAGCGGCCTGGAACGGCCGCGGCTCCCCATCCCTCCTCTGTGCCCGCCGGTCCTCTCGGAGATCCAGCCGACGAGGCACAGCTGCCCCGCCTCGTTCTCGGCACGCACCCCGGGGCGAATGGGGGGGGGGGCGTCGGCCCTGGCGGCGCCTGCAGGAGTCCGTGCCTCCCTCGCTGGACGGGGTGCGCCCGAAGGCCGCGCGGCCGCGGGATCGGCACCGAAACACTGCGAGCATGAGGAGGACGAAGCGGAGGATGCGCAGTGAGGTCGGGGAAGGATGCTGGATGATGACGAGGAGGAGGAGGGGAAGGAGGTAGGAGGGAGGAGGGTGAGGAATAGCATGATAATGTAGGATGCCATCGGGGTGGAGGGGGACTGCGAGGATAATGAGGATAATGGGTTCGAGGGGGAGGAGAGGCGGTGGAGGAGGAGGAGGAGGAGGAGGAGGAAGAGGAGGAAGAGGAGGAGGAGGAGGAGGAGGAGGAGGAGGAGGAGGAGTAGAATGAGCAGCCGCAGGACGAAGGGAAGTACTGCGTGGGTGGAGGGTGATGGTGATGAGGAGGGGGACAGGATTGCGATGAGACGGCGGAGGAGGAGGAGGAGACGGAGGAGACGGAGGAGGAGGAGCACAAGGATGTGCAGGAGGAAGACGAGGAGGAAAAATAAATGTGGGAGCAGAAGCAACACGAGGACTCATACATCCACGAGCAGGAGGCGCCAACTTGAGCTCGGTTCCCCACAGGGGTACTGGCCATCTCATGGGACTGCGTATGCGTAGATAGAACCGCCACGACCCATGGGGTGCGGTTCTGGATTATTCAATACACTTTTTGGGTTTGGCCCGACATGGCTCGAGTCCCTCGTTGTCGGAAGTGGCTGCTGGCAGCTTGAATCATGTTATAATGATCCAGCATATGTTCCAAGGTTGATCGGTCTAGCCCGCGTGTGAAAGTGCAATTGTAATCTCAAACCAGTGTTCGGGGCGGTTGTGGAGTACTGCATGTTTTGTCATTAACGGAGCTAGTGCACGGGATGTTGGTTGTGATTGAGTCGCGGTAGCCGCACTATTCAGATTGGTGTCCGTTTGTTTTATTGTCCGTTCTGTCTGATAGAACAGTCACAGAAGCGAGTTGATCTCACGTCTGTGCTTCACCCAGGGCGTACAAAAATCCCTGTCAGGCGGCCGGCCCGACGTAGTCTAGGGTTCTGATATTCCAACCTACGTTAGCCTTGATCACCAGAAAGAGTTTCGAGCACCAAGAAAGTACCGAAATTGGATGGTTTCAACATGTCGGGCCCTGGGAGGCGATACTCGTTCGACACTGTTTCGACATTTTTCTGGGTGCTCGAAAGTATTTTGGGGATGCGGTCCTCAAGTATAATGGGAGCAACATAAGTCTAGGGCAGGCAAAGGCACAGCAGAGGGGCGGGGCATTTGGCGATCGTGGGCGGTGTCGCGCAGCCGCCAGGCAAGATGAGTTGTAACCGTCAAATTCATTCGCCGAAGCAGAGAAAAAGGACGCATGCAACGGCACTGACAACTGATAACCCCTTCTCTCTTCGCTGCGGTCCATCGCTTCTCCAGCATCCAGGCGGCTGGCCTGGTTCGCAACCCCCTGTGCACCTGCATGGGGCCGCACGTGCACGATTAGCCGTTGCATGCTGAAGCTTGCGTATGAATGGCCGCTATGGCTGTTCGGTTCTTGGGGTAAAACATCCTCTTTGGTGTTCGTTGTTGTCTCTCTCTCTCTCTCTTCTCTTTCTCTCTCTCTCTCTCTCTCTTTATCTCTCGTTCCCTCTCTCTCTCTCTCTTCCTCTCTCTCTCTCTATTGCGAAGGCCTGACGGCCGGTGCCGCCGACCCTGTTCGCAATGCGCAGCAAGAGGCACGGGCTGTGGGATGGTTTTGGGGAACGGGGAGAAGGACGAGAAGGTGGGGGAGGGAGGTGTCGTATCTGACCCGGGACTTCCCCGGGACTCCCCCGGGACACCCCCCGGGACCCCCTTCTCCCTCCCCCGGCGGGGAAGGGAAAGGGAAGGGGCTTCCCTTCGACTCAATTACGACGTTGCTCAAGGTCGGTACGGGGGGGGGGCGTCGTATCTGACCTGGGGGGGGGTCGCTACCGCCCCCCGCTACCCCCCCCTCGCCTCCCGGCGGGGGAGGGATCAAAGGGAAGGGGCTTCCCTTCGACTCAATTACGAGGTTGCTCAAGGTCGGCTTGGCTGGAGCCCAGGGGAAGAGGAGTCCCAGGGGGGGCGTCGTATCTGACCCGGGGGGGGGGTCGCTACCCCCCCCCCCTCCCGGCGGGGGAGGGATCAAAGGGAAGGGGCTTCCCTTCGACTCAATTACGAGGTTGCTCAAGGTCGGCTTGGCTGGAGCCCAGGGGAAGAGGAGTCCCAGGGGGGGGCGTCGTATCTGACCCAGGGGGGGGGGTCGCTACCCCCCCCCCCCTCCCGGCGGGGGAGGGATCAAAGGGAAGGGGCTTCCCTTCGACTCAATTACGAGGTTGCTCAAGGTCCCAGGTGAAGAGGAGTCCCATGGGGGGGCGTCGTATTCTGACCCGGGGGGGGTCGGTACCCCCCCCCCTACCCCCCCCCCTCCCGGCGGGGGTGTTATGAAAGGGAAGGGGCTTCCCTTCGACTCAATTACGAGGTTGCTCAAGGTCGGCTTGGCTGGAGCCCAGGGGAAGAGGAGTCCCAGGGGGGGGCGTCGTATCTGACCCGGGGGGGGGGTCGGTACCCCCCTCCCTACCCCCCCCCCCACTCCCGGCGGGGGAGGGATCAAAGGGAAGGGGCTTCCCTTCGACTCAATTACGAGGTTGCTCAAGGTCGGCTTGGCTGGAGCCCACGGGAAGAGGTCTCCCAGGGAAAGGGAAGGACAGAGACGACGAGTACAAAGAATGACGGAGATGACGGCTCGAACGGAAAAGCCCCTCACACACGCCGACAGGGTCGGCGGATTCTCTCTTTCCACCTTCGGTCGGAGGAGGAGGAGTTTCCTTCCTTCGCCTCCTCCCCCGCCTCTTCCTGGCGTCCGGGCCAGTGCTCGGTGACTGGCGCTAAGGGCTTGCAGGAAAGGCGGTGGCCGCTCATGCGGGCGCACGGCCACGTGGATCAGCGGCACTGCGTGACATCGGCTCTTCGTTTTCTCTGCTGCAGTAAGGATGGGCAACCTTCCCAAGGATACCCTTGCATCCTTAACCCTTCGGCCCATCATTCGCGACTTTCGCTGACCAACCTCGTTCGAACAACGTTCACATGGCCCTCCAAGGCCCCTTGCATCCTTACCGCGCATCCTTACGACACGGGTTGATTGTATCGCAAAGAACCCGAACAGTTCTTGCAGCCAACACGTTGAAACACTGTGGGGGCCCATGCCAAGAAACACCTTGCTTGCCTCCAGGGTGCCCTGGGTTTCTTGGGTTTCGATGGTTTTGCCATGGAAAGCGTGACGGTCCCACACCAAAAATCCATGGACGTCCTGGGGTCTCGGGGCTGGGCTTCTTGTGGAAGGTTTCTTGTGGACTGGCTTCCACTGCAAGGACGCAAGAAACCAAGGATGTCTGTGGCGTCGCGGATTTTCTTCGGTAGCGGGGCGTTGCTCGCGCCAGGTGCAGCTGGGAAGAAACCCAGGGCATCCTGAACGCGCAAGCTTCTTGACGCCCGCGGGAAGCCGTTGCGCAACGCGGGGAACGAAGAAGCCCAAGGAACCCTGACGAAAAGCGCTCGGTTTCTTGATGCGCGCCCCCACTGCATGGGGCTCGGGAGGGGCTCCGGTGTTCGGGCCGGTCTTCGAGTCTCGGTCGGCCGACCTGTTCGGTGCCGAGGCTCGCCGTGGCCAGGCGAGCCCCTTCGTCCCCTGTTTCGGCCAAGAAACAAACGACACCACCCCGCCTGCGGCCCTCCATGTTGCGCCACGGCCCGCCGGGGGCCGTAGCGTATACCATGCAACAACCCACGCCAGATGTCCAGGTATACGCTACGGCCCGTGGGGCCGGGCCGTAGGTGGGGTGGTGTCGTTTGTTTTCTGGTCCACTATTCGGCGTTCCTTGTGGTAGAATGGCTGTACATGCTCGGTTTCTTTTCTGGTGGCCTTTTGGTTTTGCTGATGTGTTTATCCGCTTGATTGGCCTGCCAACCTGCCTCTGGAGCCTCGCGCTGTGATGTGGCGTCAGTCATCCTTCCTTGCCTCCCTCCCCGCCCTTCTCCTCTCCTCCCCTTCTTCGCTTCCACCTCAGCGATAATTTAAGCGGTGAAATGTTTTCTTTCATTGTGCACGCTCCTGTTCCTTCCAGCTGCTCCTCCTCGTGTTTTCGTTTGTTTTTGTTGGTTTGTGTTTTTTTTTTTTTCTCTCTCTCTCTCTCTCTGTCTTTCTCTCCCTCTCTCATTATTTCTCTCTTTCTCTCACGTTGCTTTCCCTCCTGGGCTGCCGTTGTGGTTTGACTTGTTGTTTATATGAACGGCCACTTGGGCCGTCGGGGATCTCCGCACAATGTGCCTGCCCCCCTTTCTGTCCTCCCTTCTCGTGATTTTCTGTTTTTTTGGGGGGGTATTTCGCAGTGGATGGCATTTCGTGTGGTGGTGCTCCCAGTGTCAATCGCGCAGTGATGATTGATGTCGCGTGATAGAATTTATCCCGCCTTCTCCTCCGTCCTCCCTCACTCCACTCCTCCGCCTCCTCCTCCTCCTCCTCCTCCTCCTCCTCCTCCTCCTCCTCCTCCTCCTCCTCCCTCCCTGGATCTCTCTGCCGGTGCCTCGCTGTGCCTCCCTTCTTCTGCCCTCCCCGGCAGCCCTGGAGCCTCCTCCCTGGTCCCTGAGGAGGAAGGGGAGAAGGAGGAGGAGAAAGAGGAGGAGGAGGAGGAGGAGGAGGAGGGAGCCCACGCTGTCGTCCACGTGGCGGCCGTTGAGAGCCAGCGCGGCCCTCCCGCACGACCATGCCTGACCCGCTGTCGCAGCCGCTCGTGCGGCCCCCGGTCACAATGGGTTTCGCAGAGGCTGCGGTGGGGGGGGAAAGGGAGGGGGAGGAGTGGTGGGGGGGCGACGGCTCGAGGAGCGCGCGACGTCTCCGAGGAGCCGCGCTTGTCCCCCTCCTCCACCCTCCCTCCCTCCCCGATCCTGCTCCTCATCCTCCTCCCCCTTCCCTTTCCCGCTCCTCCTCACTCACTCGCTCAGCGATTGCCTCACGCCGCCTCTTCC